GTAGATGGGAAACTGAATTGTAAGCTCGGAGATAATCACAATAGAGATTGATTCAATGGCGAAGTATTAAGAATTTTGTTTTCTTAGGAGTGAAACAAAATTCCAGGAAAACAAAATCATAAGTCCTCGACGTTTTCAATTACACAAGTAAAAAATTACAAAGAGAGTGGGCGAGACAAATGTTGGGGTAAACAGAATCTGTTTCTCAATTGAAGAGGTGAAATTTTATGGGTATTCCTATTCTTCAGTATTCGTCAAGAGAATTTGCGTTAAACAGAATCTGGATTTCAATATTTTGCGTGACAGAGTTTTGATTTTCCCTCTAATACTCATTTAAAAGGTTTGTGGAGAGAAACTGACTAAAATAGATGTAATTTTTTTAAGTTTAAAGGCTTCATTTTTACTATTAAAAATATTTACGGGTGCAATTTCACCACTCATGAAAATTTGATGGTTTATTTTCTACAACTCAATATTGAAGGGTTCAATTTTTTCACTTATCAAAGTTTGAGGGTTTATTTTTTACCATTGAAAGTTTAGGGGTATAATTGTAACAACAACCATACTTTAGGGGTGGGTTGTGTAATTTACCCAAAAAAATAATTACATACTAAACTATTTGAGATATCACAGTATGGCTCACTTAAATGGTTATTTTCAATCTCTTATTCTTCCTTATAATATAATATTTTTGAGACAAAGAAGATTTAAATATTATTTTTAACTTTCAGGCTTTTTATTTTCATAAAAATATATTCTCGAGATTCATGAAGACCTCTGGTATGAAAAAGAATCCAATAGAGTTTAAATTTTATCCAAAATCAAATATGCTGAATCATGTTTAACTTTTTTTTTTCTTTTAATTATTCTTCTTCTTTTACAGTAATTTTACCATTCCAACAAGGAACTATAATTTAAACACACAACCTATATAAAGAAGAATAATATTTTGTTGAGCAGGTTAAGATCAACTATTTTTTTACTATTATAACAATAATATATATATTATCAACTTTATCTAAAATTAAATGTCCAATCTTATGTGTTAAAATATGGGATGCCTAAATAACCCTAAGCCATGTGTCAATTTCTTTAATTTGCTTAGTGTCTCGTGTCTAGTCGACCCTTATCCATGTGCTTAATTCTCAATAATCTATGTGTCTTTTTTCTACCTATTATTAGTGTCCAAATGTAACATCTCATGGTTGTACAAATTGCCTATAAATAGTGGCAATTCATGGATAAATTGGTAGTGGAAAATTTTAAGTGGATTTTGGTGAAAATGTATGTTGATTCTAAAATTGTGTTTTCTTAATTTTCAAAATTTCAAATTTATATTTTAATTTTATATTTTGTTCAAATATCGTATTTTCTCGTTGTTCGTGATTCATGGTGCCTCATTTTGCTCCATAATTTTACAAGAATATAAATTATTTTAGAAAAACTCAAAATTACTTTAATTGGTTCTCAGTTAATCACTTTGAGAGATTTTTTTTAAATAATTATTTTTAAAAACAAATAACAAAGCTAGTGTAGGTTTCAAAGTAATTACAAAACTAAGGTAGATAAATCGCAGGGATAGGCTGCGATTTGCCCAAAATCGCAAGCGATGACTGTGATTTACGTCGAAATCGTGGTCATTGACCGCGATTTCATTGAAGTCGCAACCATTGGCGCAAATGGAGCCACGTCTTTGCTGACGAGCCATTTGTTTTTTTTTAATTATTTTTTTATTTTGAATTTGGAAGTTGCAGCCAGCGACTTCCCCTTGTTTTTTTTTTTGTTAAATTTGGGAGGGGCAGCATGGCCACTTCCCCACTTCCTCTTTTATTTTTTATTTTTATTTTATCTTTTGAATTTAAAAGTTGCAGCCCTGCAACTTCCCACCAATATCCCTTTGTTTTTTTAAATTTTATTTTAAAAAACCATCTTAATTTTCTCCATATTTGGAAAGTAGTTCTTAATTACCTACCACATGATAGACATATTCCTATAATATAATAATTTAAAACAAAATAATTGTAAAACAAATAAAATCCTAATTATACCTATCCCAAAATTTGGTTTTTATTTTAAAGCCATGTATTTCGCGATGCAAATGACAAAACATGTGAGTTTCATGTAATTTATACCTTTACTTTTATGGTTTTATTAATTTAATAATTTTTTATCGATTTAGTTTATACTAAATTTAAATGTTATTTTATAGAACATACGAAGATGAAATACAAGAAACTAAATGACATTTTAATCATCGAATTGGTTTTAATATAAGTTTAAACTTTTAGACTTTAAATGACATTTTAATCAAATTTTAAAATAAAAAAATAAAAAATAAAAAATTTAATCACATCTTAATTAAATTTCGCAATATTAGTAAAATAAATAAAACGGTGAATGTACTCGACTTCCAAAAAATAAATAAATAAAAAGGTGTACGCGACTTTCCACCTAATCACCTGCCACGTTTGCAAGGAAATCGCAGGCATTGTAGGCGAGTTCTGACTTTTATTTTAACCTAACCTATTTTTGTCAATAGTTTTGAAAACCTAACTTTATCTTTGAATTTATTTATTTAAATTACATTTGTTTTGAAGTTTTTTTTAAACTAACATTATTTTTGTAATTTATTTTTAAAACTATATTATTTTAAAATTTTGTCTTGGAGGGTGATTCACAGGGTGATTTTTGACCAAAAAATTAATAGAAATTTAGTCTATAATTATTGATTTGATTTTTAAAATTGTCTTTCTATTTACCTTAAATTTTGAGATTTTTTTTCTCTTTTCTAAAAATTTTGTCACTTTCTAACTTTATTTATCTTGAGTTTATTCTCTCTAATTTTTTCTCTAAAACTTTTCTAATATCTTTCTAAACTTTTACGTCTCATCTGTTTTCTAAGATGATTTCTCTGTTTAAAATTTTTGTCTTTTACTCTCTTAAATTTTACTCTTTAAAATTTTGTTTCTTTTAACTTTTCTCTCTTTAAACATTCAATATTAATCATTCAAAATCATTTTTACGGTTATAAAGTCACTTGAAAAAACGCATAACTAACTATTAAAATAATTATATAAAAATCACTTTTACAAAATCAATTATCATTAAATCTCTTTTACGGTTTCTAAAAAAAAAAAAAAAATCTCTTTTGCTAAACTTACTCCTCCTATTTCCAAATAAGTACTAAGATGTAATTGTGGGATCAATATAGCAATGGAGTAATTTGAAGCCTTTAAGAAAAAAAATTGATTACACGTATAGTGTTCAATAAAAGAGTTTAAATTCATTCTTTCTTAATAAACTTTTACACCTTTCAGGCACCCATGATAGTTTAGTTTTTTTTTTTAAATTATATATATGTTTTTAACTTTTCTCGATTGGAAACAACCTCAAAGTTCTGGAGATATGAGCTGGAAAACCTTCTTTATTTAATACAACTTGAAATGAATATTACATGCACGACTATTTGGGGTATCACTTATCTTTTTGTTATAATGCATGTAATTGATTGTTAAAGTCACTACGACAAATGTTAGTTCAACACTCAAATAAGTTTCCTCTGGTTGAACATTAATAATAGATTTTCAACTAGAAAATAAAGTTGTTATAATTTAATGAACTGAGCCAAAGAGTAAAGTGACCTGCACGACTAATTGAGTATTAGCACGTAGAAGTGCTGTCAGCATTAAAGGTAGTTGGTTCATCTTCCAACTTGTTTATCTCAAAAAAGAGAGAGAAAATAAAAGAAAAAGAGATAACATCATGATTAAGAAAAGAGAAGCAGAATGAAATGAGGGAAGGGTAGACATTTGAACGAAAAAGAAACGGAGAAGGGTAATCTGGACATTTCGCTCGTAGGTCAAGTAGTCAAAAGGTTATTTTTATAAATTATTAAGACTGGATTAAATTTCAAATTAATTAATAAAATGGAGTAGTTTTACAGAAAGGGTGAAAATATTTGATCGATTGATTTTGATTCGATGCTAAAATATCGAAGTCTTAGTCCCGAAGGAAAAGACTCCCTCAGGCCGCCGCCGCCGCCGCCGTTTCTCGCCTGAAGAATCTCAGTTTATCTCTTAGAAACCCTAGCAATCCCGCCCACACGCCACATGTATCTCTTGACATCATCCCCTCGGCTATCCTCTCTCTGATCTCGTTCTTCGCTCTCTATCTCGGAAGTCGTTCGACTGTTTCAGCTACAATCTTCCGGTAAGTTTTAATCCTCTCTCTGTTTTTATTTTGTGAATTTGTTATGGCGTTATGTTGTTCAATTATTTGCCAATCGGAGTTTTGAATGGATATGTTATTTTCTTTTTGAGAATGTTCGATGCGATTAGGATGATAACTAGTGCTTTTTGGCTTTATTTGAAGTTTCTGTTACATTCTTCTTTTTTCCCTTTTTTCCCTTGAATACTTCGGATGATAACAAGTGGTGGTTAATATAGATATTTTATTTAACTCTTGGATGCATATTTTATTTCTTATCATTCGTATATTTCCTGCTTTTGGGTTTATGTAATTAGATCTGAAATTCGAAATTAATTGGGCTGTTTTGTGAGTGTCTTTACTATAATCTTATTGATTTTGGAAGTAAATTTCTAACATATGGGTATGATAAAAAAAGTATAACATATGGGCGTGTATACTGAAGTTGTATAGTTTTTTGGGAGGGTTCCCTCTACCCTCCGCCTTTAGGCTGTTTTTGCCTTTTTGGGCTCTTTTGACATGAATGCATTCCCTATGTTTCTTATAAAAAAAAAGGGCGTGCATACTGAAGTTGGAATAACCATTGACTAGCATATTTTTATAATCGTTTTTATCTTCTTAAATATGTCTATGTTTTGTTTGTACTACTTCAAAAGTTCAAGATATTGGAAGGCTAGAGGACGATCTTTAATAAGACAACGAAAAAACAACAATTATATTTATTTCATTTTTCTACTCTTTTATCATCAAGACCATATTATTGTTCTATTATAAAATCATCATTACGGTCCACGTAAAAGTAAGAATCTTAAAGCTCATGGTGGAGTGTAGTTGGAAAGAGGGAGACTTACTGACTTTGGATGGGGTTGTGTAAGAGGATTATTATTATTTATTTTCTTCTAAAAAGCTTGAGGTGCACTAAAATGCAGTAGTCTTGGGAAGCTTAAAATACGAGGTGCCAGAAAAAGCCAGGATTTTTTTTCCTTTTTAATAAATTATACAACATGTAAATTATTTGCCAATGTATGTGTCTTTGATAATAAGAATTATGCATTGAGTTAAAAGAAAACAAAAGAGAACAATGATCGAATAATTTGATTCTTTCAATGACAGCCCACAACATCACTAAAACAATCTTCATAATCACAATTTAGAGATCTAAGCAGTAACTAAGTGTGACTTTGCCCCATTTTTTCTCCTTTGTTGGACTTCTAGTCCTCTATCTCCATCTTTTGTCTCATTTTCATAGTTCTCCTGATCTATAAGGGGATGAAGATGAAGCTGTACTTTTTACTTATTGTCTTTGAAGTACTTGCTCTAAAATGATAGATAAATTCTTTCACTAGCATGAATTTTTTGTTACTTTTAATAATCATTAGGGTTTTGTAATCCTTGATCATGCATTTTTATGAATGTCTTTTTATTTAAATTGAGGCTTATGGCGCACGTTGTCTCGAATCACTCGATTTTTTGTCTAATCATTACTTTTACCCTTTACTAGTGTTATGGAGCTCATTTGTACTTTTATTTGCATTATGTACTTCTATCACCTGATAGTTTGATATTGACGTGTTAAGTTAAATTCATAAAGATATAGAACATGTCCTTTGGCTGATAGGTTATGTTAACCTCAGCTTTGACTTGGTAAATCAAATTGTTTTATATATTCTCTACTTCAGCACTTCTTAGTCTTGGTTGGGCTTTGGTGGGGAGTGTGTTTTGTTGATTATGGATGTTGAGTAGGATGAGTAGATCATGTTCAGGTGTTATTGCACACATATTACAGTTGATACATCAAATGAAGTATTGATTTATTAACTTTCATGCAAGTATCATAACGTGTGGTGTTCATCTTACCTATCTGCAGGATTGATGTATTGATTTATTGATTTTCATCCAAGTCTCATAACGTGTGGTGTTTATCTTACCTATCTGCAGGACTTATTTTTTTTTATCATTCTTTGAATTCTGCTTCTTCTTATTCAAACCAATGGCTACGCCTCTGGATATGTCACTAGAGGACATGATAAAGAAGAATAACCGTGAGAAGCTTAGAGCACGAGGTAGGGCCCGTCGTGGGCGTGGAGCAGGTGGGTCTTTTAATGGTGGAAGAGTAGTGATAGGGTCGATTCGTAGAGGCCCTCTCAGCATAAATACACGGCCATCTGCTTTCTCAATTAGCAAGGCAAGCTTCAAACTGTTGATGTTTAATGCATATGCTTGAGAACCTGATATTCCTTGAAAATACATGCTTATGGGGATCTCAAATAACATTATAGTAACTCTAACAGAAGAGGCTCAGTAAAATTGTTGTTCTATGGAGAATCTCATTGTGGCTCACCCTCTTATCCGTATCGCCATCTGGTGTATTTGTACCATTATCTTTGCAAATGTTGAATACGTGTGGGTTATCTGGGTTATTTTCAAGGGACTGTCAAGAGTGGAGAATTATATTCTTGTCGATTTATAAGCTGATATGTGTTTTCCCCATCTGGATTCTTATCTGCATACTTTCATCAGCCCCCACGCAGAATGAAGAATGTTCAATGGCAGCATGATTTATTCGAAGACAGTCTTAGAGCTTCAGGGATTTCTGGAATTGAAATTGGCACAAAGTTGTACGTTTCCAACTTGGATTATGGGGTGACCAAAGAAGATATAAGGGTACAACTTAAGCCATCTGTATTTGACTAAAGATGCTTTCTCTTCATTTTTTGATTAACATTCTCTTGGAACCTGACGGTGAACTCAGGAGTTGTTCTCTGAGATTGGAGACCTGAAAAGATTTGCAATTCATTATGACAAAAATGGCCGTCCAAGTGTAAGTTCCTACACTATCTTTTTGTAAAAATTTGTAGTAATATGTTGCTGTCTGGTTTTTTAGTTTTTCTGGAATCAAGTATCAATGTTATTTTTGTAGTATAGACTCTTGTCTCTCAGAAGTCAGAACTGTGTGACCATTGAATGAATATTTGCTTTTGGTGGATTTAGATTTATCCATATGCAATATTGATTTTTTACTTCAAAAGATAGATAGCCCTAGAAAAAACAATTACTAGGACTTTGCTACTAGAATACGTGTTATGAATGCAAAAGCCTTGACTACTTTTGCCAACAAACAGTACACAATGAAACATGATCTTAACAAACTTTAAATCATATTATTTAAGCTTGCTCCTTTATAGACATTGCCCAATAGGATGCGGAAGCTTCATATGTGTATAAAGTTTGCAATCTTTACTAGTGATACCACAAAATGAGACTAGTTGGAGACAAAGGCTGAGTAAGATTGAAAGAGACACTGTTTTTCTTCTCTTTATCCATCCCTTCAAGTTTCTGAACGTTTTTTTGGAAGGGCTTGATTGACACCACCCTCTGAGTTGGAGATGCCTTTTATGCCCCTTTATCTCTAGAAAAGACAAATAAAGGTGGTCATGTTTAGATTTGTTTGTAATAAGCCTCTGGGTTCGAATGGTTTCTCTATGGCTTTTGTTCTTCTTTGGATAAATTGGGATGTGTCAAAGGTGATAACCTTACGGTTTATTAGTTTTGTGTGAAGGGTGGAGTCATACACTTGCATTATCTTCAAGAAGTCCTCTACTGGAGCATAAGGGACGCCTTAAAAATAATAGCGAAGATTTTAGTTGAATTTGTTAGTGTTGATTGAGAGAAAAACAACCATAAAGAACAAAAAAAATGAATATAGGAAGAAAATGTAGAATTTTTTTTTGTCTTATGAACGCAAGGTTTTTTATTTTTGTCTACTGCCTTGACACAAACATATTCTTGAGCGTGAATATGATGTAGTTTCTATGCTAATCATAGAAAAATCAGCACAACTCAACTAAAAGTTTGCTAGTTCAGTGTCATTCTATAAGTTTGCTAGTTGAGTTGTGCTTATTTCTAATTCTTGCTCTTCTTGCTTGTCATTGTATTCATATTAGGGGTGAACATCAGTTGGAAAGTGTTGGTTTTGGCCGAAAATCTATCATTCTGTTTTGGTTGGTTGAAAACTAGAAATATTTTAAGCTTTATACTGACTGAATGTTTATATCGGTTCAGTTGGTTGGTCTTTGGTGAACATTAGAGGAAGAGATGCTCTGCTGTGGTGTGGCCACACAGCAAGGATTGAGATGGGAGGTGGAGAAGAGAGGGGAAAGGGAGTGAGAAAAATGGAAGACGAAATGAGGGAGGGGAGGGAGGGGTGGAAGGGAAAGAAAAAAGAGAGGGAAGGGGGGAGAGAAATCAGAGAGAAGGGGTCATGGGATGGGAGGATAAAAGAGGGAGGGAGAGAAAGAAATAAAGGAGAGAGAGGGAGGGAGAGGGGGACACGTGAAATGGTGAGAGGATTTTTTTATTAATTAATCAATTGGTTGGTTAGAATGGCACTTTTTGGCCACTCGCACTGACTGATGAGTCGGTTTTTTACTACCAACTTTGATTGAATGTAGGTTTTAACCAACCGACATTGGTTTGGTCTGTTTTCAGATTTCCTTGTTCACCCCTAATTCATATTTAGTTTCTTTTAAGTTGACATGAGATGTATCCGCTCATATGATAATTGTTGCGCTTGTGCTTTAAATGTGTTCTTAATTGGATCATGGTTGGTTCTCTTATCAAGCTTTAGTTGGCTGATAAACTTTCCGTTGTTCATTAAAGGGCTCGGCAGAGGTGGTATATACTCGTAGGAGTGATGCATTTGCTGCTTTGAAGCGCTATAACAATGTGTTATTGGATGGGAAGCCCATGAAGATTGAAATTCTTGGCGATAATGCTGAAATGCCAGTTTCTGCACGTATAAACGTCACTGGACTGAATGGGAGAAGCAGGAGGACAGTTGTTCTAACGTATGTAGTATTCTAGTTACTTTTCCCCTCTTCCTTTTTTGTTCCTTTTTTCCTATTTATTTATTTTTCATTTTATAACTAATTATTGTGCCCCTGGGAGGTAGAAAGTTACTGGATTTTTGTTATATTTCTGTCATTTTTATCTTGCTACTTTCAAGTTGCTTTTTGTTCGTCAAGTGGAAACTATCATCATCTGCCTCATTTCCAAAGGTGACATGACTGGGATTTCAGGCCAATTAGTCAGATAATAGGGTTTGTAAAAATTTTTGGAAGGTGCTTGTAGATTGGCTGAAGAAGGTTTCTTCCTTCAACGATCTCTCCAGATCTGGTTCCATTGAACGTTGATAAATTTGGTTGTAGGTTGGCAGGCAAACAATTCCACTCTTATTACATTACCAATGAATAGCTGGTGAGTTGATAAGGAGCAAGACTCAATGGTAGATCTTAAGTTAGACATCGAAAAGGCCTATGAATTAGTTGATTAGGACTTTCATACAAAGACTTTGAGCATAAAGGTTCTGAGCCAAATGTGTTAGGTGGATGCTTATTTGTTTCACTTACACCAGATTTTTCCATTTTTATCGATGGAAGACGACCTCCCTTGGGATAGGTTAAAGCTTCAAGGTTATTCAATGAGGTGTTTCTCTCTTCGTGTAGAATTAGATTATTGGGAGCAAATATGGAGTTCATTCCAATGACTGGAATGCACGCTTCAAAAGTCCTTGGAAGGTGAACTCCCTCTATCTTTTTAGTTTTCTCCCCTTCTCTGCAGGGGATGGTCGTAGAGTTTGGTTCTATAGGATCATTGGATCCATAAAAAATTAGGATCATTGGGTCCATGTGTTGCAATTCCCTTATATTTACGTAGTGGCCCTCAAAATATTCTGGTTGCTTATGTTATTTGCTCGCAGAGAGGGCTTTTTTTTGCAGGGCCCTTCAAGATCTTGAGATTTAGGAGCCTATTTCATCAAAAACCATTAATTACATAGAACCAACTGAACACACAGAAACACAAAATGTTCCCAAGTTCATAACCATGAGAAGCCTATTACTCAAAGATCTCTAATAGCAATCTACTTGGTTGGTTACTTTTGAGTAGTTAAACTATTTTGTTTGGATCAATCTGTCATTTGGTCTATTCAAAATCCACGAATTATATTGTAATAAAATTTTGGATAAGTTTTACTGTAGTTCCAATAGATGCAGTCTGCTATGTTAGTCTTTTTTATGTTAATTTTAATAGTTTCTGTGATGTTGAGCCACATGTATGTGATTGCTTCCCTGGATGTGAATGTAGTGGCCAAATCATTTCTCTTCTCTCTTATCCTTTCTATCCATTTTCTCTGGCCAACCTCCGGTGATTCTTTTCCAAAGGAGAAGAAAATAGTACCCATCTTGAAGTGGCGGAGGATTTCTGCCTCAATGCTAAATCAACCCCTTACCTTCTTGCAAAGA